GTGTGTCATCTTAATTTGATTTAGTAGGCGTTTTAAGATAGAATAGGCTCAATACAAGGTGTAATGAAAGTTCTGAAACAAATCATTGTACTATAGAGAGGATTTAAAAATAATTAAAGCAAATCAATTATCAAGATTCCTGTGGAGAGCGGTGAAAGGGTGCACCTTCAAACACCTTTTCTGATTTCCTCCCTGTGTGCCATAATTCTAGACAAAAATTACTTAACTACAAAAATTTCTGATAAAATTTTCAAAAGAATAAACAAAACAAAACACATGATCATATAATCCCAATGACACATAAAATTGCAGCTGTGAAGATGTGTTGTGCTACCATCACAAAAGAATTAATGACAGTAAGCTATGAATATTCTAAAATATAATGTTCATGTTTCAAAATGCACCTGAATTATATTAGTTCACGTTGCGGTCACTGAAATGACACCACTCATATCTGCCTACTGTAATATATAGTTGAATACAAGAAAGGGAACTTCAAAGTGTTACATTTGTGGATTTTCTCTTTTGTGATTCCCCCTCCCCCTTTATCTGCAAGCTACCTTGAAATTATGGTAAGGCACAGTAGAAATTTTAAAAAATTCTAAAAACAATAAATTGGTATTTCTCAGGCCCTTTGGTCAAGGATTCAAAGTGATGGAAGTCATTTACGAAGGCCTTGTCTAAAATGATGACGTGCCAGGATTATTGTCAGATGTTACCATTCACCAGCGCGACTTCCTAGTGAAGATAAGACAAGCCCCTTTAAGCAGTTTTTCACAGGGAAAAGCCTGATCTGGGCTAACAACACCTCTCCTTTGTCCCAGAATTCAGCAACACTGTCTGATTCTTCTACCAGAGAAATAGATTAGGACTGTGACACCCCACTGTAGTATGCGGGAAAGGGGGGAAATCACTTCTGGCACTAAACACTATCACATTCATTCTAGGGCAGGACAAAAGAAGGGTTTAAGAAAAAAGTAACAATATGACTGATGGGTTTTAGCCAGCTAATTCCAACTGCCTATCTAGGTTGGGAGAATCCACTAAATAGATCAAATCTAGTCATGGACAAAAGAAATAATACCTTTGTTTTTAAAGAATGACCATGGAAGTGACAATGGTCTGGGGCACTCAGAATCTTGCTGTATTTCTTACAGAAGGTGCCCTCAACAGCACAGAGCTGAGGTAAGCCATCAACTTAACAGACATAAACCAAACCACCATTCTATTGCTGTTGTAGAAGAACCAAAGTGAAGCCCTAGCTAGAGCACGATATCCAGTATTGGGCATTTTACCTTTTCAGGTATGCATTAATTCTGGGAAAGGTTCAGAGAGGAACTATTAACACATATGGTAGATCTTAACTATAATAGCAGCCTCAAGTTTAAGCCCATTTGGTTTAAAGAAGAATGAGCAAGAGACTATAAAATATCTTCACATTGTATCAACTGGATGTCTAATGGGGCTCTAAAATGCACACAAATATTCAACTGTAACTTTGTACCTGGCTGAAAAAAGCTCTGCTCAAGAGGCTCACATATCTAACCAATGTCTCTACTCTGCTCCCCCTGCTTTGCCCTGTATGTAACCAGTATATCCACCCCATCCAACTTACGTTTTCGAGCCTGTGCCTCAAACTGTGCAAGATTCTGTCGGGTAGCCAACTTCACTTCCATCTTATCTCCATTGAGAATCTTCCCTGGTAGCAGCTCCAAAAGTTTGTGGACAGAGTTTTCAGAGGCAACCACCACTTCTGCATACCTATTCACAGAGCCATAGGAAAATTAATTCAATACTGGGAACCCCTGGGTGAATAATCTGTCAGAAAGACCTAGCAAAAACAACAGATGTTTATATATGAGTAGCCTGAATAACAGGAGAGAACAACAGGTCTTCCTGCCTCACTCCCAAACTCAAGGCTCCTACTGGAGAGTGGAGCACACTGCACATTGCTGGAGATTGCTGAAACCAGACACAGCCCACCTCATTCTTGAAGCACTTACAAAAAGCAGCCCTTTATTTTGCAGATGGTGGCTTCCAGACTGGACAGCCACAGAGATTTCTTCAGCACCTTAAAAATTAGGAAGAAAACCAGTCTCATGGCTGCATAGATCAGACATAACTATCAGGCACCCTGTTAAATAGGATCTACCTCCCAATATCCAACTGCTCCTCATGATGGGTCCTTTAATGAAGAGTTGTAGCAGTACTCACCCTTTGGACTGGCCATTAGCTCTATTCTCAGCAAACTTGAGCTCTACCACATCAAAGACACCCACAGAGCGGATAATTCGGGTCAGCTGCTGGTCAGTTGTCCACTGCATATGAAGAGACAGAAAGTTATAAGATATAAACTAAAAGAAGTTGTAGGATACATTTTATTAACAACACTATTTTATTAACACTATGAAAGCTCTATGAAGATTTTCTCATATTCCTTCACTAGGATTATTAGGGAAACAAAAGACATTCTTTTGATTCCCTGATAATCCTAGTCTTTGTTCACCACACCTGAGTGGTGGCAGCAGAAAGACTAATGAGACAGGTCTCAAGTTTAGATGATACAACTCCAAACACAACCCAAATTAAATTTTCAGATCTTTGTCCAAATTAATGTAAACCAAAGAAGATGCAATAATTAAACCATTTTCCTGGCATACATAAACAGCCACTCAAAATAATTACCGTATTTTCCGGCATATAAGACGACTGGGTGTATAAGACGACCCCCCACTTTTCCAGTTAAAATATAGAGTTTGGGAAGAGTATGACTTCCAAAACTGTTGTTGTTGTTGCTGTGCACCTTCAAGTCATTTCCAACTGATGATGACACCAAGGCAAACCTATCATGAACCTCCTTATATCCGGCGTATAAGACGACCCCCCACTTTAACCCCAGATTTTGCAGGTTAAAAAGTAGTCTTATACACCAGAAAATAAGGTACCTGCACATACAGTAAGTCAGTTAAGTCAGTTAATAGCCACTGAACCAGGACACAAGGCCCAGCTAGAGGCTCCAGTAATCTGTTTTGTCCATTAATCAGAGATTTGAAAAACACAATAAAGATAATACTGATTGATTGTGCCTCTTGTTTAAAACAGAGATGGAAACTGTGGAATACAGATCACATTCGGCCAGTCACGACTTCTGCTGCAGCCTCAGAATCTTTTTGGGTCCCAAAATAAATACTTCCTAGGGATGTTATTCTTTATTTGGAAATTATTCCAGCTCACATGCTGAACTTTTTTTAGCATAAATCAGCCTGAAAATGATGTAGCCCACCCTTGCCTTAAAGTTAGACTACTATCAGAGGAATATTGCATTCTTCAACCATGAGCTGTTCTTTGCATTGTAGGAAAAAATTTAAAGTTTCCCTGAAACAGTGCATGTATGAATACCAGAGTTTGCTTTTAGAGTTAGTTTTTGATAAAAGCAAAGCATGATAAATCAGAAGCAGACACCTCAGACTCTTCAGCTTTAATAAGACTCCATCATCCTTCACTACTATCTATGCCAGGGGTTGGCAACCTACGGCCCATGGGCCGGCCCCAGCCCGGTCCTGCCACAGCTGCATGCACCGCTGCCGCGCGAGTCACGGCCGTCATTTTGTTTTTCAAAATGGTGGCCATGACTTGCTCGCACATGCACAATATGTCGGAAGTACTGTGCATGCACAGTACTTCCGGCGTACTGCGCATGCGCAAGCGAGTGTGTGCTGCACCATTTCCCACCCGGCCTGTGGAAGAGCTCCGGACCAGCGGACTGGCCTGAGGTAAGTAAAAGTTGCCTACCCCTGATCTACGCTAACTAGCACCAAAGGGAGCTGCAGTACAACATTTGGAGGGCCACAAGATGCGCAACACTATAATACACTATAAGGAAATGTTTCAACTGCTTTCATATTTAAATGCTCTAGATTCTTCTTATAATTATTGAAAATGGTGAATCATAGCAAAACTATTTACACCCACACATTACATAATAATATTACAGTATTAAGAACTATGGGTCTACAGCAGGAGTGAGCAATCACAGAGGGGCAGGGTAGCATTTTCATCCCTGATCCTCAACATTAGGTGGGATGAACTTCCAGAAATAGGTGGCAGAAAAACCCTTAGCTACCACTTCCTGGTTTTGTTTTGCTCTTTCCACCTAATATCTGCTGACTTAAGTCTTTTTTTGGGTGGGGGGCATATTTCATGGCAGAATACAGCTCCTAACAAGATGGGGTGGGATAAAAAAAAAACATGGCATCATCTGGGGCTTTGGAGAGGCTATTAAAAAGAGGCAGACAGGCATATGCAATCCATGGGCTACACTTTGCCCAACTCTGATCTACAGTAAGAATGAAATAGAAAACATTTCCCCACACGACTGAAAGTTCTTCTGTAAAACACACATCTGCCCTTTATTTTCTGCTTCTCTTTGAGTGTTTTCTTACCCAAGAGAAGCTGCCAACGTAGACAGCAGCTCTCTTATTGCGTAGTCCACTGTAAGTATACAGGATGGCAGGTGATTTGCTATTTGGCTTGGGAGACTGTTCTTGGCGGTTTTCAGGTGGTGGCTCAGAGCTGCTAGTGCAACTTTCAGAAGGTTGTGAGCTGGCAGCTAGCACATCATCATATAAATCCATCTGGTCAGCATTACTAAATTCAGAGTCCTGAAAGACAGGAAGATACCACTGAACATTTGCAGAATGAAAGCAGGGCAAACTCCATATCTTAGCTATTTTCCTACAGACATATTAAAGCACTTGCATGAGATTTTCAATCTCCTGAATCACAAGAAAATAATTTTTTAAAGAGCAGACAGTTGTTTTTCTAAGCTGCAAGAACTAGAGGCTTGATTATTTCACAAAGCATTCCAGCGTCCTCTTTAAGGATGTGCTTGTTTCACTGCTGTCACTCACTGAATGTTTGCCTCTTCCTTCCTTAGAAAGCATGGGTTTTGGCACTACGCTTCTGTCCCAACTTTATAATATAAGCTTAGCATTGGTGGAGGCTAGTGTGGTGTAGTGGTTTGAGCACTGGACTAAGACTCTGGAGAGACCTGGGTTCGAATCCCAGCTCAGCCATGGAAGCCAACAGGTGACCTCAGGCAAGTCATACTCTCACAGCCTCAGAGGATGGCCATGGCAAACCCCCTCTGAAGAAACTTGCCAAGAACACCCTCTGATAGGGCCGCTATAAATTGAAAATGACTTGAAGGCTCCCAACAATTATTGGTGGACTAGCACCTCTTTTTTCACTGCCCCATAAAGATAATTCATTGAGGCCTGCTCACACAATATTAGCAAGAAATCATCTTATATAGCTAGTTACCAAGAGAGGGCACAACCACATGATAAGAAAAATGTTCCAAGTTAGTTTAAATATCTGATTGGATGTTGTGTACATAATGGAGCAAGCTTGATTTTTCTGCTGCTCCAGAGGCTAGAACATAAACCGATTTATTCAAGTTACAAGAAAAAAGATCCCTCCTAAAGATTAGGAAAAACTTTTTTTTTAAAAAAAATTGTAAGAGCTGTTTAGCAGATGAATAAGATTGCACTGGATGGTAGTTACTCTCAAGTAGAGTACAGTGGAACCTCTACTTACGAAATTAATTCGTTCCAGCAGCCATTTCTTAAGTAGAAAATTTCTTAAGTAGAAGCAAATTTAACACTGAAAAGGCCTAATCTGTTCCAAGCCCCTAGATTTAAGCTACAACTCAATACAACTCAATACAAATGTATA